GCAGAGCAGGTTTGGCGTATCGAACCTGACATCCCGGAAGACCGTCGCAATGTTCGACTCGAGCCGCAGTTTCCCCGTCCATTGGATCATAGACCTCGGAAAGATAGGTCATCGGACCACCGGCTTGAGGCCGAGCGGAGGTATGATGAGCGCAACTTACACACTTTTAGACATTCACGCCCGCATTCACGTAGCAGAAGTCCTGCATATAAGAGAAGCAGGAGGATATCGGAACCGCGTGAGCTGCGTTTGGCAACGCCTGCTCTACAGACTCTTTTGCAGCCGAACGCAGTTTCCAGCCGACTTTCTGTAGTGCGGGATTTGAAACCACCGGAACTCTTCTCGCTTTACAGATTGATTGCTCCGCCAATTTATTTGTACAAACTCAAATGCGCATGGCAAGACTCATTTCCAATGACGCAACCTTTTCAGTCTTCAAAAGAAGTTCGTTTCCATGTAAGTGAAGCCTTGCCTGGTTTTCAATTCGTCTTTTATTGTTGTGTTGTTCTCTTGCCCTCGACAGTCTTGCCTATATATTTCCTTAGCACATGTTCAAACAGCGATAGACGGCAGCTTTTCCGACTACCGACAACAGTGGAAAATGTCGTCTCCGTTGCAACTCACAAATCCAAAAGAAACGAGTTGGGAAAAAAAATCCGCGCGTCTGTGGGGATGCAAAGGAATCATTTAATGCACAGAACGCACCCATAGATTTTACTCTTCCGAATCGAATTTACTGTTGCATCAGCTTAGCACATGCGCTAAGCTGTTTTGGGGGATTTTTGTGTGGTATCAAACTGATCTCATCAGTTAGAATACTGTTGCATAGTTCTATTTTGCTAGCTACATACAAGGAATGCACTTGTCTAGTCACCTGTTTAGAAACTGGCGTACATTTCGGATGTCTAATCACATCGCTGGCACATCAGTAAACTCTACCACCTCAGTTATCAAGCTTGTCCCTCGTGTGTTGTGTTCCGTGAACGTTGTTTGTAGTACATTCTTACGTCATTTATGCGGTTAAAAAGCTCTTAGCGTTACCATCGATCTACTCTACCAAAGGATTAGACGCTACTTAGCAGCAGTGTAGTGTGACATGGAGGGATTGCGTGTCATCTTTATGTATATGTAGCCTCAAAACATGTTCACTGGATGCGATTTTTATATCTCATGCATTTCGAAGCATGCAGTCGGTGATGGAGTAGTGACGGATCGAAGTCTGGCAGTAATTTAGATAATTTACCTGTTATCCACAGATAGTCAACGCACATCTGTACCATTTGCTCGCATTTTTTCTTGTGCTGGTGCTACTATCTGTGGTTCCGTACTGGATTCAGAGTCAAACGAGTTTGGCGTACAAGACGGTTTTGTGTCGCACTACCTGTTGCGTCAGATCTCATCTGCAATCGGCTCGGTCCGGATGTACTGCTAGTCTACGGCAGAAGAGAAGG